AACCGGGGAGTCTGAAACCCCGGCAGCAGTGGCGTTCTGTAATTTAACAGAATTGTGGCCGAGACTTTGTGGTCGAAGAGTGAAATCGTGGCTGACCGCTTCAGGTTTAACTACCAATCAGAACTGAGACCCTGCTGCGGGGTTCATAATTCAGTGCAGTCTGAACCAGAACACGATCCCGAGTCCCAATCAGTGGAATCAGACTGGCGAGGACCTTCCAGCGGAGGCTTAGAGAGAACGACAGGAAGGCGTTAGACCGGGGCCGGCTGAACGCCTGTGGACCTGAAGACCAAGGTTCACGGGAGGAAACCCTGTTTCCAGTCTGCAGGTCTGATCCAGCAGCTCACACACATCTGTTCATATCGCTTCACGCGCAGGGAGTCGGGGTCCAGCAGACCCTGTGGGACCCGGGGCCAGGGCCCTGGTCTGGTCTCTGCTGGACCCCGACTCCCTGCGCGTGAACCGCATGTTCATGAAGAAGAAAAGACCGCGAGGGGCCAGCAATACCGTCGGTCCCCCTACACGTTCCGGCCGTGGCCCTCAGGGGCCTCGGTCGTAATGACCCCGCTCAGAGGGAGGTGGCCACGGTGAGGTCCTCGGTGTTAGAAAGAACAGAGAGGAACTTCGAGAACAGGAGAGAAGAACAAACCGAGGGAACACACGGCTAGCGTTAGCATTAGCATCCACACAAACACCAAGAAGGCTGCGTCACGCTGCGTCACGCTGCGTCACACCTGAGCAGACCCGCGGCAGGTGCGTCTCTCAGGTGATAAAGTTCAAACATAAAAGGTTTAATTAAAAACTCACGCGAACAGAAACGAAGCTGCGGCGTCTGCGAGCGGCGTGACCCGGATGTAAACACGTCCTCAGCGTGACTCGGACGTAAACGCGTCATCGGCGTGACCCGGACGGAATAACATTTGTCCCGCAGGGACTCCGTTAAAATGTGCAGATTGAGGTGGAGGCACCGTGGATTAAATTATTCTTTGTGCTTTGTAGGGAAGCATGTTTCTGTGTGAATGTGGGAGTCTCGAGACAATAGCGCATGTTTTCCTCTTTAATAAACTGTCAGGACTTGAGTTGAGGCTTTTTCTGGTTTCTCTTTGTTTGGGCACAGTGAGGAGCATAAACTGATCTCCAAGGCAGTCCTTCAATTCTTGCATGACACAGGACTGTTTGTAAGAATTTAGTTCAAACTTTGACCTGTGGAGGGCAGTAATACGCTCATAAGCCTCTACACTGCCGGAATCTTACAAGAAGAAGAAGAAGAAGAAGGTAGTTCTTCCGGTACACAGAGCGGAGCGAGCCCGGGAAACACCGCAGCCGCAGCAGCAGCACACCTGTAGCACACCTGTCAGGTAACTTTACTCTCACCACAGCAGCTGTAACCCTACCGTTCAGCCCGAGCGGGAAACCGTCACGTCAGGACGTAAAGTATGACCGAGCTGGTGCGGGATCAGTGGCTCAGCTGCTCCGGGGTCTGAGTCCTCAGTACCGGACCCCGACTTAAACTCACTAATGGTGAACCAGCAGGTCTGTTAGCTGCAGCACATTGATTCATTTAAGTGTCGATCGGGCTTTCTGGGCCTCCAGCTCTGACCTCTCATTGGCTGCTTACCTTAGTCACGACTTTAGGTCCAAACTATCAGGAGAACCCAGTTATGTTCTGACCCAGGAGAACCTAGTCCTGTTACTAGTGACTATCAAAGTGCCAAGGGTTTAAAGCTCTGTTAGCCATTGAAGTAGCTAAACATCTGATAGGTGAAGGGTTCTGAGTCTGCAGGAGGAGCTGACCGGAGAACTGGAGAACCTGTCGGCTCAGCCTGAGCTTGTTCTCTAAAGGTTCCTCACTAAAGTTTTATTTGATTTTATTAGGATCCCTATTAGCTGATACAAAAAACTGTCACGTCTGGTCTCTGAAGGTTCCTCTCCAATGTCGGTTCCTCACTAATGTCACGTCTGGTCTCTGAAGGTTCCTCTCTAATGTCACGTCTGGTCTCTGAAGGTTCCTCTCTAATGTCACGTCTGTTCTCTGAAAGGTTCCTCTCTAATGTCGGTTCCTCTAATGTCACGTCTGGTCTCTGAAGGTTCCTCTCTAATGTCACGTCTGGTCTCTGAAGGTTCCTCTCTAATGTCACGTCTGTTCTCTGAAAGGTTCCTCTCTAATGTCGGTTCCTCTAATGTCACGTCTGGTCTCTGAAGGTTCCTCTCTAATGTCACGTCTGTTCTCTGAAGGTTCCTCTCTAATGTCACGTCTGGTCTCTGAAAGGTTCCTCTCTAATGTCACGTCTGGTCTCTGAAAGGTTCCTCTCTAATGTCACGTCTGTTCTCTGAAAGGTTCCTCTCTAATGTCACGTCTGTTCTCTGAAAGGTTCCTCACTAATGTCACGTCTGGTCTCTGAAGGTTCCTCTATAATGTCGGTTCCTCTAATGTCACGTCTGGTCTCTGAAGGTTCCTCTCTAATGTCACGTCTGTTCTCTGAAAGGTTCCTCTCTAATGTCGGTTCCTCACTAATGTCACGCCTGGTCTCTGTCGGTTCCTCTCTAATGTCACGTCTGGTCTCTGAAGGTTCCTCTCTAATGTCACGTCTGTTCTCTGAAGGTTCCTCTCTAATGTCACGTCTGTTCTCTGAAAGGTTCCTCTCTAATGTCGGTTCCTCTAATGTCACGTCTGGTCTCTGAAGGTTCCTCTCTAATGTCACGTCTGTTCTCTGAAAGGTTCCTCTCTAATGTCACGTCTGTTCTCTGAAAGGTTCCTCTCTAATGTCGGTTCCTCTAATGTCACGTCTGGTCTCTGAAGGTTCCTCTCTAATGTCATGTCTGGTCTCTGAAGGTTCCTCTCTAATGTCACGTCTGGTCTCTGAAGGTTCCTCTCTAATGTCACGTCTGTTCTCTGAAAGGTTCCTCTCTAATGTCGGTTCCTCTAATGTCACGTCTGGTCTCTGAAGGTTCCTCTCTAATGTCGGTTCCTCACTAATGTCACGTCTGGTCTCTGAAGGTTCCTCTCTAATGTCACGTCTGGTCTCTGAAGGTTCCTCTCTAATGTCGGTTCCTCACTAATGTCACGTCTGGTCTCTGAAGGTTCCTCTCTAATGTCACGTCTGGTCTCTGAAGGTTCCTCTCTAATGTCACGTCTGTTCTCTGAAAGGTTCCTCTCTAATGTCGGTTCCTCTCTAATGTCACGTCTGTTCTCTGAAAGGTTCCTCACTAATGTCACGTCTGGTCTCTGAAGGTTCCTCTCTAATGTCATGTCTGTTCTCTGAAGGTTCCTCTCTAATGTCACGCCTGGTCTCTGTCGGTTCCTCTCTAATGTCACGTCTGTTCTCTGAAGGTTCCTCTCTAATGTCACGCCTGGTCTCTGTCGGTTCCTCTCTAATGTCACGTCTGTTCTCTGAAGGTTCCTCTCTAATGTCATGTCTGTTCTCTGAAGGTTCCTCTCTAATGTCACGTCTGTTCTCTGAAGGTTCCTCTCTAATGTCACGCCTGGTCTCTGTCGGTTCCTCTCTAATGTCACGTCTGTTCTCTGAAGGTTCCTCTCTAATGTCACGCCTGGTCTCTGAAGGTTCCTCTCTAATGTCACGCCTGGTCTCTGAAGGTTCCTCTCTAATGTCACGCCTGGTCTCTGTCGGTTCCTCTCTAATGTCACGTCTGTTCTCTGAAGGTTCCTCAGTTTACAGACTGAAGATGTTGAGGAGGAAACCGACTCGACTGGAGCTGAAGATCGACGACACAGAGGAGTTCGAGAGCGTCAAGAAGGAGCTCGAGGTACAGACTACTTTTCTATATCCCCGTCAGTATCTGTCGAGTCGATATCTATTAATACTCCGATACCTACCCGTCCGTATCCGTCAGTACTGTCGATCATGTAACGTTGTTCCCGTCCCTGATGGCCAATAAATGGTTCGGGCTCTGCAGCGTGTGATCAAACCGCTCAGAAGCATCAGTGATATCGGTGAGGTGCCTGCAGAGCCCAAAGGACAGAACCCACCCAGCCACAGCCCGTTCGCCCTGCTGCCTTCTGGGAGGAGAGAGAGGAGTTTCTGCAGAGCAGCTTTTCCCCCCAAGCCATCAGACTCTTAAACTCTGACTCATCCTCAGCTCCACTGATGAGTTTCTGTTTCCATGTTTAGAAGTGCTTCTGGTAGCAGAAGGGAGTTTTCACTCTGTAACTTATGTGACAATAAACCTACCTGGTGTCAGTCACATGATGACATCACCATGTAACATTTTTATTGATTTTTTTATTTTTTTTTCCCAGGCCAGGAAGCGTCAGCGAGAGGAGGCAGAGTCAGGAGGCAGAGAGGCCGGGGCTTCCGTCATCAGTGTTGACATCATCGGGGGCGGGGCCTCCGCCTCAGCCTCTTCCTCGTCGGCGTCGAGGACGGAGCTCATTAACGAGCGAATCGGCTACAAGCCCCACCCCAAGCCGGCCACGCTGCCGACCTTATTTGGGAGTTTACAGTTTTGATAAAACACAATAAAATGTTTACGTGAATTTAAAGTGACACCGTGATTCTTTGACGGCGCAGACGCCATTTTGTCCAGGAACACCTGAGAAACTGACTTACTGCGCGACACACACTTCCTGTCCGTCCTGAGTGTGTGGGGCTGATCTGATATTTATATGAAACGAATGATGTCATCATGCCGTATTTGATCATATGATTTGTTTATTTTCATAATAAATGCTACAATAATGTTTTTATAAAGTTTCAACAGATATAAAAGACAATTAGTGTTAAAAAGTCAGAAAACATCTGTTTATTTACAGTAACAGTAGGCGGCGCTCTGACATCACTAACACTTAGGCTCCGCCCTCACACAGTCCAGGAAGTGATGTTGACCAATCAGGACTCACCTTTCATTTACACAGATACTTATATTAAACTTTGTCTTTTTTAAACATTTTAAGGGTCCAACATCATTTCAGTTACCACGACAACCAGGAGATATAAGTGCCGATGATGTCATTTTATTTTATAAATTTAATGCTTTAATAAAGCAAATTAACTTTTAGAAACAACAAAATAATTGAAGTCTCTGATTGGTCAAAAACATTTCCTTAAAACAACAAAGATCAGAGTGGGCGTGGTCTGTGTGATGATTGACAGCTGTTTTTTCAGAATAAAGGTCAGTTTATAAAGTCAAAACATAAATAAATAAAAGTAGAAACAGTGTTGGTGCTGACAGCTGATTGGTCCTCAGCAGCAGAAACGTTTTTAGTGTTTGAGCTGTTGCTATGGTTACCGCAGTGACAGGGGGGCGTGGCTCGAATCCTTTTTAGCTTATTTAGTAAAAAGTGTCAGAATTTTTTTTAGTGTTGAAACGATTTGAGTGTTCAAGGCTCCGGACTTCAGGTCCAACACCTTCTCATCACAGGGCGTCACGTGTGGGCGCCTGTACATGTAGGGCGCCACGGTCAAGTTATCAAGAATAAATATGCACATACATCCTGTTAGACTTTCAAAATAAAACTAGTGTTTAACGTGAAGCGTTGCAATTTGTTTAGGAAAAGATCAGGGTTTGGGTTAAAATAACCGCCTGACTTAAAGTAGAGAACTTAACATAAGTAAAAGGAACCAAAGCTGACTTTTTGTTTCACGTGGGAAACAAAGACGGGCCCCAAGGGTGAAGGTCCGGTTTCTGGCCCACCGTCCAGCCCGGACACCTCCTTGGACTCTTCTGTGGGACTTTTAGCGTTGAACTATAACGCTGCCGTGTGCGCCGGTACAAAGCGTAGCTGAGACGCTCTGGGAATGACAACGGTTCATTAAAGCTTCCTGCTGACACACACAAACGCACAAACACACACGCTGCATGTCAGCTGATCAACAGAAACAGGAAGAGAGGTCTGTTCCTCCTATCCAATCAGCTGAGCTCTGAGACGCTGATGATAAACTGTAGCATTAGAGGCTCATTACACAGGCCGCTAACACCTGCAAGCTAATCTGTTAGCTTGCACCGACTACAGGTGGTTGGTTTGTAACAAATCAGATAATAAACTGAACCTGAGCAGATTTCAGAGACTTCGGCTTCCTGTTAGAAACCAAGGGGGTCGGCGGGAGTCCTCGGATCCTTCGTGGTGTCACCTGGTGTTACAGTCTGAGCCGAAGGAGTTTGGCTGCAGCATCTGGACCCGAACCTCTCTGAGCCTACGAGTCACTTCAGCACCAGCATGACATGGAAACACATGTTAGCCTTTAAGCTAACGGCTCAGACAGCCGACGTCACTGCTTTCAGCTTCGGCCTGTAAAAAGACGTTACAGTTACATCATGTGACTGCAGAACGGGGCGGCTGTGGCTCAGGGGGTCGTCCACTTATCAGCAGGTCGGTGCTTCGATCCCCGGCTCCCCGGTCTGCATGACAAAGTGTCCTTGGGCAAAATACTGAACCCCAAACTGCTCCTGGAGGCTGTTGAGGGTGTGAATGTGACCTTGTGTGAAACGCTAGGGGTCATGGCGCTCTACAGACATCTAACCATGAAGACGTCTGATTTTCAGCTGAAAGGAGGTTTAAAATTCTCTTTAAAGAAAGATTAGGGGCTTCTGTCATCGCGTCCTGATCAGTATGTGACCGCGTCTGAACTTATTAGCATCTGGTAAGTCGTTAGCTCGATGAGCAAACTTCCTGTTTGACCAACAGGCTGGCTGTAGTGTCGACGTGTTTTCAGATGCTAGCTTTGTCCGTGCTAACCTCGAGGCGTCCTTCACACGTGAGTTATAGTTTAACGAGTTCCAACATCAGCTACATGTTAACAGCAGCAGGTCAACCTGTCTGATTTTAAATGTTTGTTCAGCTGCTCATCAGGTGGCGCAGCCTTTCTGCTTTTTTGTGTTTCCCCCGAAACATTTTAAAAATACTTCTTGTTGCATCACCTCCACCTGCTGACCACGCCCGCCTCCACCTGCTGACCACACCCACCACAAAGAAGCCTGAAAAAGGGAACTCTTCTGCTGCTGAGGACGGGGCTAAACTGATGCTGATGAGGCGAGGTGCGTGATGGCGTCATCAGTTCTTAATGGCAGCGGCGGCGGCAAGGTGTGTGATGATGTCATCACTTCTTCTTGATGGCGGCCAGGTCTCGCTGCAGCTCGGAGAACTTGGGCCGCTCTTCAGGGTTATACTGCCAGCAGCGCTGCATAACTTTGTATACGTCTTCAGGGCAACGCTGAGGGCACGCCATCCTGTAACCTAGCAACCAGGGAGGGGGGGGTTATTCTCTTAGAGCACCTGGAGTCACCTGGTCAGGTGAGAGGCGGAGACTACACTTCTATAATATTGTATGTTATGTGTGAAAGTTTTATAATAATGACTTCTATCATTTTACAAACTGTATTTTCTTCATGTGATTACTAATATAAACTGTGTTTACCTTTCTCCACCTGCTCTCGGGCCTGCTGATTGGTCATCCCAGGATAAGGACACACCCCCAGACTGAAGGTCTCCCACAGGAGGATGCCGTAACTCCACACATCACTCTCTGAGCTGTAACGCCCTGCAGTGACCAATCAGAGAGCAGGAGACAGTCAGCAGGACTGAGACAGTCAGGAGTGAGACGTGAGTGAGACAGGCCTGAGTCAAGGAGTGAGACAGGTGTAAGGCAGGCGTGAGTCACGAGTCAGAGACGAGTGAGACAGGCTTGAGTCAGGATTGAGACAGGAGTTAGTCACAAGTCAGACAGGAGTGTGACAGAAGTGAGACGCGAGTCAGTCAGGATTGAGACGCGAGTGAGACGCGAGTCAGACAGGAGTGAGACGCGAGTCAGACAGGAGTGAGTCAGCCAGGAGTGAGTCACGAGTCAGCCAGGAGTGAGCCAGGAGTGAGACGCGAGTGAGACGCGAGTCAGACAGGAGTGAGACGCGAGTCAGACAGGAGTGAGACGCGAGTCAGCCAGGAGTGAGTCGCGAGTCAGCCAGGAGTGAGACGCGAGTCAGCCAGGAGTGAGACGCGAGTCAGCCAGGAGTGAGTCGCGAGTCAGCCAGGAGTGAGACGCGAGTCAGCCAGGAGTGAGACGCGAGTCAGCCAGGAGTGAGACGCGAGTCAGCCAGGAGTGAGACGCGAGTCAGCCAGGAGTGAGACAGGAGTGAGACAGGAGTGAGTCAGGAGTGAGACAGGATTGAGACAGGAGTGAGACAGGAGTGAGACAGGAGTCAGACAGGAGTGAGACAGGAGTCAGACAGGAGTCAGACAGGAGTGAGTCGCGAGTGAGACAGGAGTGAGACAGGAGTCAGACAGGAGTCAGACTGGAGTGAGTCAGGAGTGAGACGCGAGTGAGACAGGAGTGAGTCAGGAGTGAGTCACGAGTCAGACAGGAGTGAGACGCGAGTCAGCCAGGAGTGAGTCGCGAGTGAGTCGCGAGTCAGCCAGGAGTGAGTCGCGAGTCAGCCAGGAGTGAGACGCGAGTCAGCCAGGAGTGAGTCGCGAGTCAGCCAGGAGTGAGTCGCGAGTGAGACGCGAGTCAGCCAGGAGTGAGTCGCGAGTGAGTCGCGAGTCAGCCAGGAGTGAGACGCGAGTCAGCCAGGAGTGAGTCGCGAGTGAGTCGCGAGTCAGCCAGGAGTGAGACGCGAGTCAGCCAGGAGTGAGTCGCGAGTCAGCCAGGAGTGAGTCGCGAGTCAGCCAGGAGTGAGTCGCGAGTCAGCCAGGAGTGAGTCAGGAGTCAGCCAGGAGTGAGTCAGGAGTCAGCCAGGAGTGAGTCGCGAGTCAGCCAGGAGTGAGACGCGAGTCAGCCAGGAGTGAGACGCGAGTCAGCCAGGAGTGAGACAGGAGTGAGACAGGAGTGAGACAGGAGTGAGACAGGAGTGAGACAGGAGTGAGACAGGAGTGAGACAGGAGTCAGACAGGAGTGAGACAGGAGTCAGTCACGAGTCAGACAGGAGTGAGTCGCGAGTGAGACAGGAGTGAGACAGGAGTCAGACTGGAGTCAGACTGGAGTGAGTCAGGAGTGAGACGCGAGTGAGACAGGAGTCAGACTGGAGTCAGACTGGAGTCAGACTGGAGTCAGACTGGAGTGAGTCAGGAGTGAGACGTGAGTGAGACAGGAGTGAGTCAGGAGTCAGCCAGGAGTGAGACGCGAGTCAGCCAGGAGTGAGACGCGAGTCAGCCAGGAGTGAGACGCGAGTCAGCCAGGAGTGAGACGCGAGTCAGCCAGGAGTGAGTCACGAGTCAGCCAGGAGTGAGACACGAGTCAGCCAGGAGTGAGTCGCGAGTCAGCCAGGAGTGAGCCGCGAGTCAGCCAGGAGTGAGCCAGGAGTCAGCCAGGAGTGAGACGCGAGTCAGCCAGGAGTGAGTCGCGAGTCAGCCAGGAGTGAGACGCGAGTCAGCCAGGAGTGAGACGCGAGTCAGCCAGGAGTGAGACGCGAGTCAGCCAGGAGTGAGACGCGAGTCAGCCAGGAGTGAGCCGCGAGTCAGCCAGGAGTGAGCCAGGAGTCAGCCAGGAGTGAGACAGGAGTGAGACAGGATTGAGACAGGAGTCAGTCGCGAGTCAGCCAGGAGTGAGTCGC